GGAGGTACCCAAAAAGTCGACTTTTTGGGTACCTGCTTTGGTGGTGCTGGGTTGGGTCTGCACTCTTAAGGCTAAGGCTAAGGCTTAAGGCTAAGGCTAACATAGAGCAAGGCTAGCGCTAAGGTTCTATCCCTTGGGGGTCGGCGGCTGCAGGCGGTAGCCTGGTAAATAAGGAGCTTTATTATACTAGACTGGGCACACGCCTCGACTCTCAAGCCGACTCTCAAGCCGATCGTCTTCGCTGACTGCGCACCCCTGAGAACCAGTTACTAAGCACCACAAGTCACCAGTAAATGGAAGGTAACCCGCAACACGAAGCACCAGTTACGTCTTTCTGTTGAAAAGAACCGGCCCTTGCGCACTCCTCGGTGGAGTATTCCTCTGGCACTTCATCCGTGTGGGGTGCGATATGGTCTTGGCCTTGATAGCCTGGGCGGCGCAAAGGAGATGAGCGAGTCGAGTGAGCCAAAATAGAGTCCTGCCCTGTGGTTTCAACACTTTAAAGGTAAAACACCTCAGCATTTCCATGCTCCTTGTCATTTTTCTTCTTTTCGAAGGAAGCTGTCTCAAGAAGACGGCAAAGGAGGGAGACTATGTTGTCATTTTCCTGTGGACAAAAACACAATCGGAGAGGTTGTTTCCCTCCTTCCTCGGCAGCAATCTCGGACAACGCCACTAACCCGGAAGCGTGAAAGAACAATCTGATGGAAACCGTAGTGGGGATGGTGGTGACTTCTTAGTGGAAAGTTGATGAGTACATGTGGTCATGTGATTCAATGCGATGTGGTGATTCATGATTCTGTGATGCGTCATGAGTACACGCGTTCTTCGACGCGCCTGATCCCCAGCGCATGTGAACCCATGCATATCCGATCTTCCGCGTCACACGACGGTTCTATTCAAAGTTTCTGTAACGCGGAGGTTTCCTTGAGTTCCCTTCAAAGGGGGCCGTCCAGCGCATTTGCTCCAGCTCCACGGATCAAGCTTCACATGCTGAAGCCACATGTTTTTGGTCATTCATGTACATCCACGTCAGGACTGGCTCAAATCCCAGGTGGTGGTTTATACAGGGACTGGCCTAAAGCTTTGAGCCAAGAGTTCTGGGGGGGTTATATCAACAAGTGTTTGATGACGGCCGGCCAAATCCCTCCATTTCCCCCGAACTGCCTCCATTGTTTGGTCTCATGGGCCCAACACAACGCCGAAGAAGTCGCAATCCCAAGGTGTTAAGCTACCAACAAGGAGCTCCTTGTAAGGAGTTTCGTGTTCTTTTTTCTCAGAACGTGCCACACCACTTCCTCACTCTCCCGACCCCCCCTCATGGTGGGAGTGGATGGCATGGCTCCTAGGTCCATCCTACCAGTGAACTCCTTTACACCATTCCGGTGGACCGTCGGATTGGCTCCCTCGCTCGAAGCTGTCGACGAGGTGACCGAAACCGTGTTACGGCCGAGGCACACGCGGCGGAGAAATTGGGTAAGGTGCCGGGTAACATCTGTGCCTGGGATGGCCGTGAGGATGAGGGCGAATGGATGAGGGATGGGTGATGATGGGTGTGCAAAGTGCCAAGTGATTCAAAGCTATCTGAGCATATCTGAGCCACCATATGTGCCGTTCGACTCGTTCTGAGCCACCATGTGAATAGAATAGTATAGTGATTCAAAGCTTTAGGACTGACTGATGAAAGTGATTTCGAGGTCTTTTGGAGGGTCGTGCAATCCATCTGAGCCGAATGAGTCGGCTCGTGCGGCTTGGACGAGGACGGAATGGAGAGATCCCAGGGGGAAAAGGAGACAAACATGGTTTCAAAAACCATTGCTTGGAGTTCCCTTGATCTGGGTTCAAGACTCATTGAGCGCAAAAAACAAGACTCATTGCTTGGGTTCCTCGCTCGGATTTCACCGTGGAAAACTAACATGGACCCTGAAAACCACTGGTACTACCACTGGTTTGTAGAGGAAACCAGCCTTACCGGGTCCCATTCTCAGGGTCGTTAGCCTTCGCGACGGATTACGTTTGGATGAGGCCAGTTGATCACACGTTCTTGTGGCATCCAGGTTGCGAAAGAACGGGTTCCTCCACCGGTTCGGACACACCAAGACCGGTCAACCGTGGGCTGTCCGACTTATTGACCGACTGCAATGCCAACGGCCACCGGTCCTGATACTCCGGATTGCTTCAGTAGCTTTCACTGTTACTAGCATGTTCCAGGGTTCCCTCTAGGGCCGGACGAGCCGCCGAACACTGCCATCCTCACCACGCTCCAGGCATCCTGCACCTTTCCCAAAACGCACCACATTGGGCTGGCTCGCTGTCGACCAGGTGCCAGTACGCGGGCGCCGCCCAGCAAGAGTGCATCGCCCTGGCCAGGTGCGGCCAGAGAATCAGCAAAATCAGCGCTTGGGACGGGCTACTCGGTTACTCCGTGTTCAAACTCATGCAACCCCTAGGCTTCCAACAATCATTAATGAAATAGGCTCTGCCGAATCAGCTAATTTTACACTACAAAAAGCAGGTCAACCATTGTTTTAATGGCCTTGGAAGTCTAGCAACCTTGTCTAACACCACAATTATATAGTCATTGGCATTGTTCACTCGTAAACTTAATGGAAGACATTCCCAAATTGTCGCAAGCGGCTTCGGCAACCGTGCGCCACTACCATTTTGCCGAAGGTGAACCTGATAAACCAGCTTTTTCTACTGATGTCCATCCTGCACTGCTTGGGTCGGGTACTCACTGCACAAAGTAGTCTCCCAAACAAGCCGAACCATGCTTTCCCTGAATAGCTTTAAAAACTCAACCTCTGTTATGCAAAGCATTGCACAGCTATTGTCTTCGGCCCCGTCAAGCCGAATCATCTTCCTTCCAAAGTGCAACAAGTCTGGATTCATGCGTGCAACAGCCCAATTCGACTTACAAAACCGCTGACCTTAGGGTTGGTTGAGCCCTTCCTTATTCACGAGCTTCGGAAACGGCTTCTTCACTCTCATGTCATCCCAAACAACCTCCTCCAAACGATGGGCGTGTCTTTGGACGATATCTTGCACCCTTGAAGTCAAGGGTGGCGTGTCTTTTGGGGTCACCTAGTCCGACCATTCTTGGAGTCGAATGGATCTGCAGGGTCGGACGACGAAGACCCCCTCGTCGATGTTCAAACACCCCCTCGGCCCATGGCCTCGACGTCAGCGATGCCGAAGCGGTGCTGCACACGGTCCTCATAGCCTGGGAGAACGGAAACGAATTGGCCAAGTAGGTGCATCCTCCTAGACCCTATGCTCTTATGGAGCAACATGCTCAAAATCAATGGTCTGTTTTTAGGGTTCTATACTAGTCTGTTCTTTGGATGCCATGTTCCAGTGGATGGCATTGTAAACGCGACCAAATAGTATCCAAATACGCGTGCGAATGCTTCCTCTCAGTCGTTAGGAAAGGGCTTGACCCAAGGGCGATGGCGCAAAAGGTACTGGCACAAGGGAAAAGTGACAAACACCTGCGGTTCTTACTGTTTTTAGGTCTGACTTTGGGAGATATGCCGTTTGGTGACGATCTTTCAAGCACCTGCAAGTGACGATGACACTGCAAGCTGTCTTGGCAAAATATGGATCAGTATGGATATGATTTCCACCCATTTCCAACATCCTGGAAGATAGGATTCATATTTGGATGTGTATTGAAACATGGAGACCTCCCAGTTGGACCCTCTGGAAGGTTCGGAACATAGACCCCAAAGTATCTCAACCACCACTTGGAAAATATCCTGAACCAAAAGTTGTTGAAGGGAATTACCCCGGCAAGAGACCCCAAACAATGCGTCTAAAGGTAAAAGGTCCAGACGTGTAGAAACAGAAGGTCCAGAGATCTAGACGCATTGGGGTCGAAAGAGAGATGATTCATGATGGTGGTGGTGGTGGTGGCGATGACGCTGGAAATGCTGGTGATGGTGGTGGTGATGAAGGGTGGTGGTTGTGATGGTGGTGGTGGTGGTGGCACAGGTGGGGGATGACCGTGGTATTACTGGTGATGGTGGTGGTGATGATGCCGGTGATGAAGGGTGGTGGTTGCGATGGTGGAATCCGCAGCCCCCTTGGGCAATCCTGGACGTTCTTGCAAAATCAAGCAGCAGCATCATCTGACCTAATTTGAGGAGAGAGGTCGTACCAAGTATGGATACAAATTGCAATGGGCCGAGGCTTGGACGAACTTTTAGAGACTGGCGCGCCAGATCCTCCACTTCCTGGGCGCAACCCTTGATGCTGCTTCAAAATCTCGCCAACTTACTTTAAATTCAAAACGGCTGCCTCGTCTTGAATCTACTTTTCACCTCTGACTAAATCTGCAGTCTTCGCCTCGTTAAATTCAAAACGGGCTTCAGCCCTCGTCCCAACGCTATCATTTCCTGCCCGACTGCATGCCATTCGAACTAGTCCTCTGCCTCCTTCCTCTCTTTCAGAGGGCTCATCTTGTCTAAGATGGAAGGACAGGAAGGGGCATTGTCGGCAAAACACTTTCTAGGCGACGAAACATTTTTGTCGATCTCAGGGCGGTAGGGTGGCCGAGGGGGCGCGCATGGAAATTGTCGGATCTTTTCGATCGGGAATGGAAGCGCGAACCATACCACTAGACCACGGCAACTTTGGCCATGAGTTGGACGGCTAATGCATAGGCGCGGAACTGCCACGCAAACATGACATACGCCTCCAAAAGAATTACCAAAAAATGCAGGCCACATATTTTTTTTTGCCCTGGGGCGATGGAGCCGCCGCAGGGCTCTGACTTGAACTTGCCATAAAAACTTTTTGGGCTCCAGAACGTTGTTATTTTTTCACGGGGTCTGAGTGCACCCTTAATTCTGCACCTTTTCTGTTAGTTGCACCGATGGCTGAATGTCGCAGGGGTAAGAGAACGTGTAGAGCTCCAAAGGAATGGCTTGCACCAAAATGATGAAAGACACAAAAACTAGAAAACATTTTCTGGCTACCGAAAAAACTCTTTTCACTTGTTACACATGTTTTGAAAGCGATTTTTGCCCACCTCGTTTTCTGAATTTAAGTTAACTCACCTTGCTGAAACTACAAAGGTTCACCTCGTACCTCGTCAGCCCTCGTTCTAAATTGTGCAGCAAAATACCACTAGATGTTTGCTTTATCATGCTGCAAGCTGGAGTCAGGTTTGAGGTCATTCGAAACCACGTCGCAGAAGAAGCAGGGCGACATGCAGCGAGAGTAATTGTGGTTGATACCTGTCACACTGACACCACACCGCAAGAAGTTATTTGTATGTCTTCTTTGCTTATCCGAATAAGCTCGCAGCAAGTGCAGCAGTACTGATCGATCGCGTTGCGATGGCCGCACTGGAGGCAAAAACCGCCTTCCACTACTTCATCGTCCTCGAGCCACGCTTCTTCTTCTGCCCATTCCTGGTTTTTCATGTGATCATGCATGGCTGCTCTTTCGGCTTGCCATGTTCGTCCGTGCTTATTGTTCCCATGTTCTTCTCAAGCACTCCCAAGCAAAAAAAAAGTAGACACCAACGGACAACGGGACACAAAATGCACATATGCAAATATCAAACATTTGCTGCGGCTGCCACGAAATCTGCACTTCAAGGTTCACAAAGTGCAGCGCCTGCCATGAAATCTGCACTGCGAGGTCCACAAAGTGCTGAGCTGCTGCCTCTGCCACGAAATCTAGGCTTCAAGGTCCAGTGCTGCCCCTGCCACGAAGTCTGCAATAAGATTCACAAAGTACTGCGCCTGCCACAAAATCTGCACTTCAGGGTCCACAAAGTGCTGGCCTGCCACGAGATCTGCACTTCAAGGTTCACAAAGTACCGCGCCTGCCACGAAACCTGCACTTCAAGGTCCACAAAGTATACGCCTGCCATGAAATCTGTGCATCAAGATTCACATGCGCAGCCCTGCCAAGGCGATTCGAAAGACAACATCAAGATGTCAAAGCGCAGCTCTCGCTCAAGACTTCCTCCGATTTCTGACAACATCTGAAAACACGTCCAAGGTCACGATTCACTGCACCTGCCACGGAATCAGAGCACGCCAAAAATCACCACTATGCGAAATCTGCACATCGACGTAAAGCCGCTCCGATCCCTGCACCTTTAAACGAAACCACAAAAAACGAGGTTTCCCTTGCGCCTGCCACGGCAAGTGATCAACAAGTCCAAAAATGTGTGCAGCGCCACCCACAACGAGAGCTCAGTCTCGAAGAGCACCCACTTGGGTGGAGTGAAATGCACTTTGAAGATCTAGAGGCGAATGAATGTACTGTAAATAGATTAAATAACAGCAACTAGCCGGACGCGGATGTGAGCACCTCCGACTAGACACCTGTCCTTAACCACAGAACCCCTAGTGTTGCCACACTGTTTGGGGAAAAAAGGCATCTTCCAAATGTGAAGCACCTGAAGCACTCATCACCAGGACCATCCCGCCCATCACAATGCCCAGCTGCCCACATCCTCGCGCGCGCCCTCGCCCGCGCGGTCCCAGCAGTCGGCCGACAGCCGCTGTAAGCGGCGGAGCAGCCCCTCGGCCACGAAGGGCGGGAGTAGCCTCGGGCGGAGCGGCTTGTCCGGTGTGCGATGAAGGAGGATGTGCCGGTTTTCGCAAGGTGTGTGATGAAGGAGTCAAGAAGATTCACCTCTGATCGAGAGTCCTGTCATTTTACTACCCCGGCCCGGTAGTTTTTCGATAGGCTCAGCCGGCTCAATCTTCTTAGCTTCCTATAGGCCCATACTATAGGCCTATAGGTCTGGTGAATCTAGGAAGATTTTTAGGATGATAAGCCGAAGAAATGGAACCTCCAGCGGAAAGGAGGAGCGAACCTGGTCCAGGGAAGTCTTCATGACAGTCAAGACGGGAAGAGGATTTCATGCAAACAACAGTTCATCATCTATCAATCCAAAACCATCGAACTTGGCTTCATTTGTTGTATCACCAGTCGGAACCATCATGGGCCAACGATTGCGCCCGGCGCAGAGCCCCTTGCATGAGCCTGTTCACCAAACAGGTGGTCCGCACGACGTCGTGCGGAGTCTGTGTACGCCGTAAGTAGACCACCCCCGATGTCACCTGAAGACCACCTCTTTGGGGCCTAGGCCACGAGTGCTGGAGGAATGAGACCAATACACGAAGAAATCCATGCTCCGATTGATTTCATGTGTTTATTCAGGCACATGTTCAAGGGTCTAACCTGCACCAAGCTGCACGAAACAGGAGGGTACAACATGTCTCAAGGTTGTACGCCTTAATTAAGAACAACGCCTGCTCCATTTTGATCTCAATGGTGGTTTCACGTGGTTTCGAAAGAGTGCACCAGTCTCAGGCTGTAAGTTATTCCACTCTCATAAAACCTGACCTAGTGAATACTTGGGTTACCAGTTGGACTCCAGCGTTCGGAAGTCCATTTTCGTTCAAAAAAGGAATAAAACACCTCCTCAACGAAGTTCCTCAACGATCCCTTCCATTCAACACGACCACCGTGCTGACTGAGGCTTCTCTTGCTTGAGCCAGGCAAAAAAGTTACCAAACTCTTCCCCCAGGTTAGGATATTCACCCAGGAGCCGCACTTTGTTGGCACTTCTTCAGCTGTTGGTCTAGCCAGTAGCCTCATTACCCAACCGGAAACTTGCATCACATCACCGGCACGGATCTTCTTCACCCAGGGCACTGAGGGATCTTCACCAAGGACTCGGACTCCAAACGCTTCCGCAGATGGCGCTCCTCGGTGCGACGGCGGGTGCCAACGACCCCGGCGTGGCGTGGCGTAGGGGTGCAGCGGTCGTGCTGACGTCCTCCACCCGGTCGTTCCTTCCGGCCAGGAGCGCCCCGGCCCTTGGTGCTTGCTACTCGTCGTGATTCTTTGAAATATGTTGACGATGAAAGGATGGCGTGGGTTGAGTGGTGCAACAGTTAGCCACTCAACCATCCCAGTATATGACCAACTCAACCGAGAAAACGATGAACCTCGACCAACACCCCACGGTGATCAACCGTGATCCGGTGATCCGAACCGGATCCGAACCGGATCTGGAGCGGTCGACGGAAAAACCGCCACGGCGAGGAAAGCCCCCTTCTTCGAACCAGAAATTCCTTTCAGCCGGCGTCTCAAAAACACCAAACAACATAGTGCACCACTAGGCCAAAAGATCTTCCTGAAGAGTCCAAATGGACCTTTTCCGCTTTCAACCCTGCTGTCGACACTTGTGCCATCTCACGCGGTAGCATTTGTCCTCTCCAAAGCTGTGAAATGGACTCCTTAATTCGACTGTGGCTGACCCACATGAATGCTACAAGACCCACTAAAAGGAAGACACTTTCTTCCTCCTGTTTTCCTTTTATAACGGTACCAACAACTATACCAACATATATGCAAATGCCGGGCAATGAGGAGTGTCTTGTGTCACAGCGCCCCCGGAACTACACAAAGTGAAGTCCAAACACACCTCCCGCTGCCACATCTTTGGACCTCTTTCTCACGCACCGGTGCTGCCCGGTTTCGCATCTCCCGCTGCCAAGGTGCTGGATCCTTCAGCCAAGCTTTCACAGCTTTGCCATCGTTCAGCCAGGCCAAGGCCTTGGCCTCTGCCATGGCTGGAGAGATCTCCGCTTCACAGCGGTGTCGCTGGAGACAATGGTAGCGATGCACAGTCGGAATTGGGAAGAAACCAGGAGACCCTCTCAGCTGGTCTCTGATGGGGTGAAAAAAGGACAACATATCATGACTTAAGTTGAAGTGCAGCTGCATTGTGAAGAGGCTTCAATCTTCTCCGCGATCATGGTCTCAGCGATTGGGGGCAGGGAAACGCGGACGAAACTTTTGCTCTAGTAGGTTGGAGGCCATCGCTAGTCGGTTGGAGGCCATCACTATTAAAAACCAAGTCTCTTTTAAATCCTTTTTGACTGCTGCCATTGGCTCTGCCCTTTCCCCTCTCAATTTGTTTAAAACCTCGTCACAGCTCAGCTGGCATCTGCTCATCACAGTTCGTACTCTGAAAACGGCCTTGACCCAACGTTTTGATTGGCCTAAACAATCGAAACTGCTAAGATCGCTAGCAGCCGCTAGCATCTTTGCAGAATACGGCCACAGGATGCCAAATTCAGAGCTGTGACCCACCCCCAGGTTTTTCGAACCCACGAAGTGTTCGAGTGAGAACTTCAAACGTGTCGTGACTCTCATCCTTCATATTTCAATCACTAATAACTAGGCTGAAGCCAAAAAGGCTTTGGCCACATGCGGCTTCTTGGAGAACCCTCTTGCTGGGTCAGACCAGCCCAAAAGCCAACCACTTGGCAGTGACGCCCCGGTCCAAACGGTCCAAGAAGAATGACGGAAGTCCTCTATCAAAGAATCTCTCCGATGGATGAGTTTGTCATGTTTTCAAGCTTTTGCTCTGGTTCTCTTCATTGCTTAGGGTTTGGCCTACGACTCCTACAGGCCGAAAAAAGACTCCTGGCTCAGTTTGCTAAAGATCTGGCCAACAACACCAACTCAAGCATGTTCAATCATGATCTGGCACAGCACAGCAGTGTCAGCCAATCATCAAAACTGATTGGCTGTCATTCCAGAGATTATACTATTTTGAGGGGCCCACAGATGCTCGCACTTTGAGCCTTTTGAGGAAAGAACAAGAGGGGCACCAGAACTCCCAGGTACCTCCCGTTCGTGATCGGCGGCACCTCTAAGAGGGACGACCAAGGGGTGAAAAGCCATGCCCTACGAGCGATGGCCTTGGCTCCGTTCGTAGCGATGCCAGGAACCCCGTTCGTAGCGTCCGATCGCTCCTAATATTGGGTTCTACTTCAAAGACTCCATGGGCTTGGCATATTGACCTATATAGATGGACCCTGCCTCAACCACCCCAGGCCGTTTCTCGGTAGTCAGAACTGCTGGTCCCAGACAGGTCGTGTTTGGATATGAAATGCAGACAGGCCCATCACACTGCCGCTTTTCACACTCGTCGATTTGCAAGCTGTACATCGACAAAAGGCAAGCAATAACTTTAAAAATAATGCAACTCAATCAATGATCACTCACTACTTTACCAGTACTTTACAATGCAACTCAGCACCTTACCAGTCAGGCACTGATCACAGTGAGCCATCATTCATTTGCTCAAGCAACTCCTCTATGGACCAATGATGCGGGCGCACGCAGTGACGGCGCGCTTGGCACGAGAATCCTGAATTGGGATCACGCCCGCCTGCACCCCCTCACGGATATAGCACGGAAAAGGATAGCCAAGGTTATGGAGGAGAAAATCACGGGCATCCATGAGAAGGCAAAGTGCGATGACCCACTTTTGAAATGTCATGAACTTCACAAAATAGAAGTCGGCCTTTGTTCCATTCTCTGCTGGAGCTTCACTCATCATCATGACAAGAAAGAGCGGTCCGAAAGTGACCAAGTGGCACAATCCCAAAGCGCGTGTGAAAGGGATGCGTTCATCCAGCTTTCGTACAATGCACATGGCAGCCATGCGTGCGGAGAAGATCCCCCAGGCAGCTTTGTAGCCAAGAAGGCCAAAGGCTAAGCCACCAATCCACTGAGGAAAGCACATGATGGGTGCCCACACAAAGACCAGGTCTGCTGTGACACTGCCTACTTTGCCACACTTGATCAGCATATCACTATGATCCCTCACGACGACCACTTGACTCTCCACGATCCATTTCACCAGCGAGAGCATTTTTGCTTTGTTTGGCCGGCGTTGAACATAAAAGACACCTGAAGGCCTCGAGCCGAAATCCTCACGAGGTTCGGTTCGCATGGGCATATACATGCCTGGATCCAGTACATAGAACGACCGGATCAACTACCAGGACCCTGCCTTCAAGAGATGTCTATACATAGGCCTGAGGTAAAGGGGTGTCCAAAAACCACCAGTTGAAAGGTCATTGGAGTTCGAAAGGCTTTGAGGGGTTAGGCAATGCTGCACTTCTGCGGATGCCGACCGATCCTGGGATTGGTGCCCGTCCAGGCAGCCGGGTTCGAGACAATACACAGCCTTACAACCGCAAACATCAGGGGATTCCAGGCCGCAAAACCGACGACTCAATCCAGTTTCCACTCTCCTCCCGTTCAACGCCGCCCACTCCGCCGATCTCCGATCCCCGGCTTTTTGGGGCAGCATGGGTCCCGTGTTCCGTGGGAGAAGCGACATTTGTCGCCGCGAGAGCACCCTCGCGCGGAGAAGTAGTGCCGGCACACCGGTCCAGACCTTGGATCGATGGATGGCCGGTGTGTTGGCGCCACGAATGGCCGACGGATGGTGTGCAGTACGGCATCGCAGTAGGTTTGACCAACAAGTAGTTTTGACCAACAAACCAATACCAGGACCATCCGACCATCTGGAAAGAAACGATAGCTCGATTCCTCGCCTGTCCTGGCTGGACTACCCTACATTGCTTAGGGATCCACATGGAACACCCAAACAGGATGGTCCTGGTAGGTTAAGAACGGCAAGGCTCGTTATTGCCCCCCCCCCCACTCCTTCAGGCACCAAAGGTGTGTGTTCTAGGACAGAATGAGTTGAAAGGGCTTTGGCGATTTCTGTCATGGATGACCCACAAAAGATATGCAATCCGGGGCTATAGTATGCCATATAGGTATCTGATTCGATCCCATGTTTTGGACATTCTTCAAGCTCTGTAGCTATGCAGCCACGATCGCAAATAAAAACCAGAGAGTTTTGGAGAACTTATAGAACCAGGAAGTTCCAAGTCCATCCAGGAATTGCTTCTTAACATCAACAACACGCGTCTTGTTCTGCCCCAAGGGACGCTTCTTCCTCCTTCTCCTCTTCTGCCTCTTCCGCGCGCACGTACTGTCGCCTGGCAGCGAACGGTTGAGGGATAAGTCAGGCATGGCGATGTGTCAGTGTTCACTAAATTTAATAGCTTCTTAGTTACTACTAGTAAGGCACCTGTTACTACTAGCGTGGCACCTGTTACTACTAGCGTGGCACCTGTTACTACTTTCATGCCCCAAATGGTGGTACCTTTCTGCAGAGACTCACCTGCTTCTTTCATGGCTCGCTGCGGGCAGGAGGCGCAAGCGATCAAATCTTTTCGATCTTTCTCTTCCAACATGGCTCTCGGGTCCTATCCTTTTCCTGGCAGATGAACATGATCCTGGTCGACCCAAATCCAAAAACCAAGACCCACCACCCCGACAGCGGCGCAGGTTCAAAACTTTCTAAAAGTTCTTTGAGGTAGGAGGGCAACTTACAGAACTTACACCATCAGCCACTGGACAATCATCAAACAACTACAAATTGTGGGTTGCACCAGTTAGGGGAAAACCTACGCTTGCTGGTGCTTGGGAACACCTATGAACACCACGATGTGCCACGAGAAGGAACTTCTGTCCAGCAACACCAACCAATCGGACGCCCAAGGCCAACTGCTCCTTTTGCCACTCCAGAACTGCGCTCGGCGCTAGGTCCTGTCGGTCTTCAGAGTTCTTCGTCGCAAAACTGCGTGGCAAATCCATCAAAAAGTGCCTAAGGCTTTGCCAGTGGCGAGATTAAAACTGTTCCAACCGGACTGGCAGCAGTTTTCGCACAAGGACTGCTTGCCTCCCTCTAGGACTAGCTGCTTCCGAAGCCTCCGCTGCGTATGAATCGGCACCAAGGAGCCAAGAGCAGCCGGTGATCACCGGGTACATCCGCTCTCGCGCCCCGCACTCGGCTAAGCCTTGCTCCGCTCGGGGAGGTAGAACGGAAGGTTTTTGTTTGTTCTTCCTTTTGCTCCCTTTGTAGAAAGGAAGGAACTTCCACGCGACATGGGGCAGGATCCGCATGATGGTGCAGCGTCACAGCAAGCTCTCTACCAGTGTGGAAGCACAGTAGAAGCCGCTCTCTCGGTCTGAATGCCGTTCATCCTTTAGATCAGACCGCACGGCCATTTTCTCATCTTCACTGGCCTGCCAGTGGGGGTCCCTCTCGCTTCAAGTTCGCCTTCTCCAATCGAATTGCTCCCAGCTTCGCGTTGTGTTGGGACCAAAGCTCATTCACAGCAGAGTGAATGGTACTGTTCCAATGTCCTTGGCTTCTGGCAACTTAAAACAAATCTGTATCACTTCACTTTACTATACCACTGCAACGGTTTGTAGTAATTATGACTGGACTGGAATCTCTTGTTTTTTGGTCTCGAATCGCAAAACATTGCAAAACCACGGGTCAATTTGGGCAAAGGTCAACCGAAGCCAATGACAAAGACCCACTTGTGACGGGCCGTTTGCTGAACTCTTGACCTTCTACGCTCCCGAAAACTAACATGGACCCGGGTCGACTGGCACCCTCAAAGACTGTTTTCCTCGACAAACCAGTGGCTTTCAAGGTCTATTTAAGTTTTCATTGGGGTAACTCAGTAGCGATCAGTAGCGCCTCTCCGCCAATGGTCTAGTACTTGGTCTAGTCTATTCGTCTTACCATTTGGTTTTCGGTCCAAAGGCAGGAAGGCAGCCCCCCGTCCGCCGAAAACAAAGGTCACACGTTTTTGGAGTCGGCTTCGACCGATTCGAGAGCTCCCAAGCTCCCAGCCAGCTTGGAAGTGTTTTGATTGGAAGACGCTACGGCCGAACTGGCGTCGCACTTCCTTTTTTGTGCGTGGCCGACGTGGTGCACTGTATACTTATAGTGGGCAGTGGA